GATAATAATAATAATAATAATAATAATAATAATAATAATAATAATAATAATAATAATACCTACACTCAGAGAGTACGCATTTAACAGACATAAATACTTATAATAATTTTGTACACCTACTCTACGAGATTTTTACATTTACTCTACATTTTCACATGAATACTATTTTTATTCTGATTTTGGAATCCATTAGGTTATGTCTGCTTGACCGACACATGAAAATTAAGACGCAACAGGGAAATGTACTAGAGTAGAAAAAAAAAATTAATAGGCGTCGCGGAAGTTATAATTTGTTATGGGAGCCAAGGTTGTCATAAAATTAGGCCAATAACGGCTTGCTCTCGTTTTTTTTTGTTTTTTCCCTCCTCTCTTAAAACTTACAACGCGATAATGTGCAAGGGAGCGGGGGATCAAAGAAATTTCCATGGCAGTCTTTTTGGGGCTCACTCTCGGCCCTGCGTTGTACTTTTTTATTTTACTCTCCAGAGCTGTACCTACACTCGCGGTCTTTCGAATTTAGTGCGTGGAGAGAGGAGTGATGGGCGCCAAGCACGTAATTGCGTGCTTACGCTCGCAGCGCCGTTTGCAGGGTATTTCTTTTTTTTGTGCCAACGTTATCCTTGAACAATACATGTAAGTAGGTACGTGCGGACCTACTACGAGAAAATTAGAATTTTGCGCGTTTTCAGGAAACTGCATGCGCTTTTTTCCATCTTCTTTTAGCTGACCAATGCCACGGTAGCATTGATATTATATATACACGTTATGTATTGTTTCACATTAATGAGCGTGTTTGCTTTTTTTTTGCCGTCGACCAAGTTACCTCATCACCTGAGGTAGGTATGTTTTTTTAAGATTCGCAGTCATTAGTATTCAAATTGATTTTCCCAATCAAACTTATATAGAAGAATCGAATACACACCCACGTAATAAGTAAATAAACCGCCAACCTACAACTCTGTTATTATTTGCACCTAAAAATCTAACCGAGATAAAAAACGTACCCTTTTGTAGGAAATCACCGATATCGAAAAAGTCAAACACAAGGATATTAAATTACAATCCTGAAAAGTTGAAACAGTTACAATCAGGACAGCAGGGACGATTATCTAAAAAACCGGACGGATAAGGGCGCGAGTATGGAAAATTGAGTCAGCTTTACGGCTTTTGCCGGGTTGTCTGCCGGTTTATTTGGAACCTACGTAAAATGTTATACCGATAACCGAAAAATACGAAAATCCCAATTATACATATCCGCAATTGTAAATTTCGTTGATAATTGTACACGAATATAAGGAAGGCTCTCCGTGTCTGCGTGACATGGCATCGTTCACCACCCACCGATCTATGGTCGAGATAAGCGGCACGCTCTCTGTTTCAAACCGCTCCAAACCGTATTATACTCACTTGATGAAAAAAAAAGCTCATTCCCGTACAACTGCTATGTACCTATACGTTTTAAAAAGCTGTAGTTGGGCTTCAGCGGATTTAACATACTTTTTCGACAAAACAATGCATTATTTGTTAGATCGCGCTTTAATCATGAACCTAAGAATGATCGAGTATATCCTAAAACTCTTATCCCCCTCCGGATGAGTATACTGCATGTATAAATTCTACACTGTCCTACTCGGATGAGCCATCCAATCAATAACATCAGCGGCATCAACTTCATGCTTGCGCTGTCTCCGTTTGTTATTTGCGCCCTGTTTTCTCTTACTGCGATTTACTAGGTGGGTAGGGGGGATGAGATCCTCGGGCCGCGGCCTCGCTGTTCTCCCTACTCTTTCGCTTTCCTCAGGGAAGGGTCGAGGTCGGCGCTTGTGCTTTCTGATCTTTAGGTACAGCTCTTTGCCGTGAGTGCATGTATGAGATACGATGAACTGCGTATCACCTACTCCCTTGTGTGTGTGTGTGTGTGTGTGTGTGTGTGTGTGTGTGTGTGTGTGTGTGTGTGTGTGTGTGTGTAATTACTTGTTGTTTCTGCCCGGGTGTCGGAACGTGTCGCCTCTGTATCCTTGGAGAGCTGTGCGAGGCTCCGACTCTCAGGTCAATGCCCCCTGATCAATCTCGGATTTTTTTTCGTCAAGGACGGGTGGGTGTTTTTTTTTTTTTTTTTTTTTTAAGGAAAATTAATAATCCGTATATTTATCGCAATTCAGAATTTCATAAAAACGGAATGTTTGTGTAGGTGTTTCAAATATTGTACTTTTCTCAATATATATGTGTATAGCTGACAAAATCCATTGGAGGCGTCTGTTTCATCTCTTCGTCGTAAATTGTTTCATTCCATCAACAGAGTTACGGAATCACTGCAGCTTCAACCTAATGTAATTACCTATACGTGTATACCAGTTTTGCTGCCAATAGCTCTCACAGCCCAATTAAGAGCGAGAGAAAAAGAAAACCTCAATGACCTTCAATTGAGAGAGTTCGTGTCCTCCTCGTCTTGGCTCTCACTTGCTCGATTACGTCTCGCATGTACCTACACACACCGTATACGGAGGTGCTTTTGCACTTTGTCGTTTTGCTTCTCGATTCTCGCTCTCGTTCCCTTTGCTTGCATGGCTCGTTGATGATTTTTGATACTCCTCGCTGCACCTTGTTCAACGATAATTAGACATTAAACCGGTAATAGTCTTTGTTGCACACGCAAAACTTACGCTATTCGTATACATACAAACGAAACTTTACATTTGCTTTGACAATACGTCACCACTCGTCAATTTAACGCTCGCTTTTGGAAGCTTTTTTCAAAGAAGAGGGAAAAACAAATTAACGAACAATGATCAATTTATTATTAAATTAATTCTTTAACAAGGCAAGTAACTTGATGCTTCATTATCGTTTCCGTGGTTTTCATGTAGGTAGAGCATATATATATATAATTGTTTGCATATTATATTTAAAGAGAGAGAGAGAGAGAGAGAGAGAGAGAGAGAGAGAGAGAGAGAGAAGAGAAGAGATCAAAAAGGATCGCGCTCGATTCGTACCTATACCTGAATCCGATTTTTGCGCAACAAGTATACATCGCATGCTTCAGAATCTTTAGCATACGCATTTAAATTTATAATAGGTATATTGTTTTGTATGTGCCTTTTAGATTTTGATTCAAGAGTGATTAATATGAGTAAAAAGGGGATAGGTAGCTACGTGTGACATCATCAAACGCCGACGATATTTTATGTAATCATAGTAATAGAATACCAATGCATAATTTATAACAGATTAAGTATATGCCTATCATGGTGAACCGATCATGTAACTTCGAATGGGGAGCGTTATTTATAGTTTCTGAAAGATATACTTTTAATGTACAATATGTACTAATCACTTTTTTTTTTTTTTTTTTTTTTCTTACAAAAGAGTGTGCGATGCACTTGTGGTGGGTATACCCATAGCTGTAATTTATTACGTAGGTATACAATCCTATTGTCGAAAAAAGCCAAGTCCATTATAGGTATAATATTTTTATTTGCAAATACCTCGGTTGGTTGGCCAGCGCACTATTATGTATATCAGTATGTTTATTGTCTTGTCTTTGCATACACTTGGGGACGTCTGTCTTTCTTTCCGTTATATTCGAGATCACCCACGCGCACCATACATTATTTATATATATGGATGGGGGCGCGCGCGGGATCCCCTACCTTGGCTCTCATCGACGCATCAAGGATACTACCTCTGAGATGTCGTCGTGATGTGTTTTCTCACGCGCGCCCAGCCGGTGCTATTAAACTTTCGCTTCGGACGTACGTGACTCATTTAAATACGCTCGACTCTCGGATCAATCGTATATTTCTGACGGTGAGCTATTTGGCAATTTTTTATCACCCACTAAACAAAGACGTCGTTTGAGAGCCCCCAACTGTGATAAAAACTTTTCCGATCACCGACGAGTGCAAGAGTAAATACATCTCATTTCATGCAGGCGTTGTTGGGAATGTTGGACGTAAAACAAGAGCTTGAAACTCCGATTTTCATTACTTTGTGCTAGGGTGTTACGTTGAATTAACAATAATCTAAAATAACTTTTTTCGATTAGTACGGATGGATATGTATGAATGTAAATAGGCTACCAAATACTTTTTCAAGTACAAAACAATTTGCTGATTACGTCCTTGGTCCTTCGTGTTAATATTCTTGCAAACAGTTGGTTCCCCCCGCCCCGTTTCTCGTATCAAAAAATAACAATGTCGGTAGAATGTCAGGGTATTCGAAAGTTCGAGCATAACAATAAGTATAATCAAGGGGTATGTATCTGCTGGACAAAGCAAAAGTCGAATGTCACTTGAAAATTGACACGCTGCTGCAATTGATCTTTTTATAATGGTCTCTAATGCATTGTTGTTAAAAGCGAGTTAAAGGATCGCTGACAGGGCCATTTATTCATTCGGTCTTTATTAATCACGTTAATTCGTGCATTGCTCCGTATACAATTACCTGCAATAAAAAATTAGTTCAAATCAACAATCCGTATAGGCAACAATTTTTTTTTCTCTCCTAAAAATAGTTCAAAAGTAAAGTTAATTAAAAAAAAAAAAAAATGTACTGTTTTCTTGGAGAAGTAAAAGTATCAGGTAAAATTATCATGGATTAGCGAGTGAAGGCCGTGAGCTTCAGTACCAGGGTTTTGCAAAAATCAGCCGATCAATGAGCGTTTCCGGCTGTTGCGGCACCGCGTCAACGAGCTGCGGGAGTCAAGGATAAATATAATTATAAAAAAAAGTCATCATAAATCTATATAGACACACACAATATCGCTACAGCACAAAATACTCTCAACGTACACGTTGTTCTCTCGCATATCACAGCAAGTCTCGGGGAATGTAATTATTGTTATTATTCTCCTCTTTATATTAATTCTTGATCCTCCGTGCGCCTGGGTAGGAGTAAACAGCATTATTTGAAGAATGTACAAACAAGCTCAAATAAAAAGTGGGTTTCGCTCAAAATGCCGACAGAAAAACACTAATTGATACCTCGTTGTCATCGTTGGTCAACTTGTTTGCGTGAGATGCATGCATGCATGCGGGTGTAATTACTGTTTGCAACCTTCAGTTGCGCGATATATATTTGAAACGTGTATATATATATATATATATATATATATATATATATATATATATAAGTTAATTTTCACGAATCGGTAAGTTTATGCTCGCTCTTTACGTCCAAGAGACAGCGATATGTCGTCACTGTCACGATAATCGTTAAACGCAAGTACTGCATAAGTGGTAAACATCGTAGCCACACACGATCGTAAAATCTCGATGCTGCTTGCGCAGGGACGTGGGGAAATACGCGGTTTTCTAATATTGTTCTCATTTTACTCATAGAAATTACTCATTCCATCAACTCAAGTGTAGGATGACACTTGATAGGAGGTAGCATACAAGCTGTGCATACATTAACAATAAAACAATAATATCTGAATAAAAGTGGCGACTGTAGTAATATTCGAGGTTTTGTGAATATTGAACTCAACTGCTTTTGCGTAGGTATACGCATGCATAATATATCCGATACTTAGTTGTTGCTGCGACTGTACTCTGTATGGAGAAACAAGTTTCGGAGGAGATTTTTGCGAAACAGGCGATAATACAAAACCAACAGAATGGTTTGGGAGATCATTTTTTTTAATACAAACTTTTTCATTCCCCATCGAATTAGCCCGTACGATATTTGTAACTACTTGCTTAATGTCGCAATTTGTTGCGCTCATAACTCTAGTACACATTTCAGCTGCTTTTATGTTTCTTGACGTTAAATGTTAATTTTGTGATCAAAGTAAATGCAAATGCTTGTAATGATAATTTTATTTTTTCTTTTTATTTATGGTACATATTATACAAATTTCTACTTTTACACATTGAGCATCAGGAAGGCCGTTTTCTTACATTTTGTCAACAAAACGATTAACGTACTAGCATACTTTATTTTCGTTCTTATTTTACCATTTTAATAGATGCAGAAAAAAAAGTTTATAACTCCTTCATGACACCTTAACGATTTTTGTAATATCACAATTCTTGAAATTATGGAGACTTAAGTATATTATTAAGCCTGCCTTAACGGTGAACCCAAATCATCTACGTTCTTTAACATTTATTGGAATAAATAGACTAAATTATTTTGACATGCAAATTGACAGAAAGGTACACGTATTCTTACACTTTTACTGATTTATATGTTGAGCATGTCTGCTAGAAAAAAAATTTAGCCTAGTCGAACAAGCAATGTTAAATATTATTGTCATCAATTTATATAATGTTTGTTTAGAAATTATTCTGTGAGGTAAAATTTATCTTATTTATTCTTAGATGCTTGCTTGATATGGAAAAAAAAATAAACAAATTAAAAAAAAAACTGCCTAGTCCCGTGTAGTAGAATTAGTCCATCAGTGCTGATCGCTCAATTCAGCACTGATGTAGGCAACCGATCGAAAAAATAATAATAATTACACGGGACTGCAGCTGTCGAGGCTTTTTTTCATCAACGACTATAAGTAGACACTCCTCAAAGCTGCAAGCTAGTCGAGAATCGGTTGCCTGCACCGCACTCTTTTTGTTCTGCCGATAAAATGGTTCACGTAATGTGCAACCACTGTCGAGAGCCAGGGTGTGAAAAAAAGGCGATCGCTACGCAGTATCATCGACTCGGCATGTAGATACACGCTATAGTAAAGAAAAGCCCAAACATCGCTCGCGGGTTCAGGCAGAGGTCTTCAACATAATATATATACATATACATATCAAAAAAGCGTTAATGAAACGCTTAAGCGCTTGCCATACATATATATATATATATATACATGGTATAATTATATCCTGTGATGAAGTATATACCTGCGCGGGTGGAGAAGAGACCTTGCCAACGAGGCGCCACTATGTACATATGTAGGTATTTTATTATTACGTTGTAATATTTAAGAACGAGCCCGGCGCCGACCTTGTACCGCATGAACCAAAGACTTATTCCCTACCTCGCGATCTCAATATTTTACAAATGCTGGGAACATCGCCATATAAATATCTATCATAAGAAAACTCCAATATCCGAGAAAAGCGTACCAAAACCCTTATACTAGAAAACAAAAGTACTTTTTAAAATATGTGTGAAAAAATTGGACTTTTATTGGGGTTGCGTTTTAAGATTAGGATGATGGTAAATAAAACGTCCCGACTTCAGTAACCATTTATCTCTATTATTTATTTTTCACAAACAACAATGTTTTGTGGTACAGAATATTTTAAATAACAAATATATCGAACAAAAGCCTTGAAATTTTTTTTTTTTTTTTCTTTTGAAAGACTGAAAAACTATTGACTTCCACTTTCATAAATGTATAAACTCATGAATATCGATTTAAGAAGAGGTTTTAAAGTTCAGTTGCCAATGCTGGTATTACTGCGGGCCTGTATGTATTGTGCACGTATTATTATGGTCAATTTCAATGCTAAATTGACCTGGTATCCGCCATAATACCATCATAGTGAAAGAGGTTATGTGTGCACCAGTTATTGCGGACGTGATTTTTTGCGTTTTTTGCTATACAAATGTAAAGTTTTTAAGACTATTTAGGAACTGAAGTTCAATAAGTTAGGTACTCTATATCTTGATTTAATGATTTTAAGTGTTTACTGGCTATAACTCATCAGTTCAATTAAAATATACGCATTATTCAAGAGTACCACAATAATTGGAGCAACCGCAATAATACCCTCGTTTACCCTACGCCATCCAACAATCGGGGCTATCCCCAAATGTCGTACCAAAAAAACAGTTTTCATACCTGTGATTTAAAAGAAAAAGAAAAAAATGGATATTTTTCATGCTCTCAGTTATATATATAT